ATAAATATAAGAATTCATAAAAAAAGTTAAGTCTGGTCAAGAAAAAGCAAGTGGTTCAGGATTCGGTGGCAAAGGCCTTGATAGACTTGATAAGGATCGAGATTTTGTTAGAAAATTGCAAAGAAGAGCCTATGGAGAAGAAAGTGATGAAGAAATAGATATTTTTGATGATGATTATGAATATTCAAAAATGGATTCTATTGATGCAACAGACCAAACAGGTATATTTCTTAAATCTGGCCTTAATAATAATCTAAATGCAGCGTCTATTATTTCTTCACAAATAAATAAACCAAAAGGAAATATAACAGATGATATATTGGAACGTGTACGTAAAGCAGCTGGCTCGGTTACATCTCGATTACAAGGATATTCACGTTCTGGTATTACAATTGAATCTGGTCCACCTGACTCAAGAGAATATACTGCCACAATCGAAATCAATGATTTTCCTCAGAAAGCAAGATGGGCTGTCACAAACCGCACAAATATTGCTCGAATTATTGAATCAACAGGAACATCTATTACAAATAAGGGCAACTGGTATCCTCCTGGAAAACCAGTGCCTCCAGGAGAGACAAAATTGTATATTCTTGTTGAAGGAGAAACACAAATATCAGTAGATCGAGCATTACATGAGCTTAAACGCTTGTTAACAGAAGGAACTGTTTCGGTAATATTATTACTATTATAACTAATAAATTGATCTTTTTAGGCATTGGAAAATGAAATACGTTCAGGTGTAACAGGAAGGTATTCTGTTTTATAAACAATATATGTCTGAAAAATATTAAAATTTCGCATCTTTAACATAATATTTTTTATAACAAAAATTGTATTTAATTCCACTAAAAACTATTAATTGATAAATACAATGTCTAGCCAGGAAAAACCTGTAAATCCTTTTTCTGTAAACCCTTTTCTATTTGTTTTTCTTTAATAATGTCATCTAATAACATTGAACGTGTTTTTTTCTTTTCTGCTTCAAGCTTAGCAGAAAGCTTTCCAGGAGCAGATATTCCTCTGTTTTTATTCTTTTCAAGTCTTTCCTCTGCTGCTTGTGCTGCTATATTTCTTAAATTTATATAATTTTCAGTTGTTTTTTGTATATTTTTCTCATTTGTAAGGGAACGACCTTCTATATTTTTTATATTTTTTTTACCATCAGAGACCTTATTAGCTATTTTTGCTTCTATGTTTGATAAATGAGCGGGTTTGGGTAATGTATCTGCATGTTTTTTTGATTTTTTGCAAGTTATACACATTTTATAAACCAATTTTAATATAAAATTACTTAAATGTTTTATTAGTAACAAGACTTTGGAATGTGTTAATTATATACATTTACATGAATATTTTGATACTATAATTACCATTACAGAAAACGCTTTATAATAGTATATAATTACGTAGTATTTTACGTAGTATTAACTTTAACTTTCATAATGTAAAATAAAGGGTTTTTACGATATAAAAGAATCAGAATATAATCGAAAATTATTATTTTCTATATAAGTAATACCAATCATTTATATCTGTCTAGTAAATATTTACTCTTAAAGTATAATTATTTTATCAAATTATAATATATATTCAAAAACCCAAATAAATATAAAATATAATGTAATTATGTTTGCACGATGCTTATTGTATTCCTAGTTAAAAAAGGTAGATAAACTCTAATCGATTCTATATAAAGTAATTTCAGATTGTTTAAAATATCGACGTGCGTCTATATTATTTAGAAAATAATAAAAGATATCAAAAAACTACCTTCATCTATCAATACTAATGAAAGATAATATCGTGTAGAAAACTTTTTATTAACATCGCGAAAAGTAGGTGTTAAATCAAATCCTCCAAGAAAAAGACGTATAGGTATCGTTTCACCACGAACTGGCTGGCCATCCATAATCTCAAATCGGGAAATCTTCTTACGAGTTAAACTTTATACTATTTCTCAAACTAATAAATACCGTTTCACTCTCATTATATTGATTGGGTGATGATCCCGTTGTTTCTCTTCGTACAATAGATAATTCCATGTATTTTATCTTTAATCGCACCAAAAGAAAATGAATTTTACCAACAATCACATCTTTTAAGTGATATCTTTTTTTTAAAAAAAATAATAAATCTTTATTTAAAATACCTGGACTTTGAATATTCAAATTCAATATGCAAACAATCTTCAATACCAACATCCATTTTAATAGAACTATTATTTTCCGGTGGCATCTTATACGAGTAAACCCATATATCCTTTTCACCCACTATATCCGGCATTCTTCTGGAGATAATTACACGAAGAAAATATCTACAGGAGAACGTCAACTGTGCAATAAAAGGCGCAGAAAAAATGTCTTTCAATACCGTAACTTAACATTAATCCCATGATAACTTTCATATTGTTTTTCTACATTCTTAAATTCAAAATTAAATGTTTGAGGATGTCTCATTTCCCCCGGTGCTGCCAACTCCTGAACTAAAGAAAGAAACTCATAATGCGTCCCACGATCAAAAAACATTTCAATGCTGCCTATGAACTGCACTTTAATGCCCGAATGCTCCATGCGTCTTCCATCTTTGGGTCTCAATGTTATCTGCATTGCATATAAGCCGCATATATAGCGCATATATCCCAAATTACCGAGCCTTTGACTGACTCTCCGTCATAATAAAGCGGTGCCTTTTGTCGCCTGTCCTTTCCAACCTTAATATCTACCATTTTTCTACTGTCTTCGCCATCCAAGCGGATATCTACATCTACCGGAGTCTTGAAAAACAAGCTTGCCATCACCATTAGAGTCGATGGTCTGTCACTTAAAGCAGTGAATATTGCTCCAAAGTGTCCTGAAATACACAGAAACACCGATAAATCTCTGCAAACACCTGAACTTTCTTTTGCTGTATCCGCTGCTCAAACTGCAAAATTGGTTACATCTATGCTGCTTGCCAAAGACACAAAACCTTCCTTTATGCTCCAAGTATGCCCTCTATCTGTGCTGCACACTCTGGCGCCCTCTCTGCTTAGTCTGAAATAGTCGTCGTCACTTGGGTGCCCCAAACGTTCTGTCCCCACATCCACCGCAGCACATATAACTTAAATGCACAAGTAAAGGCTTATAGTCGGATATATCTGCTAGAAATATGCATCTCTGCACTCTGCATTCACAGCACATGCACTCAAGCTATGCTATATATGCATGGCATCCGCCTGCACAAAGGCTGACACCTCTGGATACATCTTGAAAACAACCGCCAAATACATGGCAAAAACACTGCATGCCCAAAGGCACCCGGAAAACCCGAGCCCCATTGAAAAACCAATTCTTCATAAATACAATAAAAACCCTAACAAAACTGCATACAAACAAAATACAAACATATGTACACATCGGAATCATGCCCTGTGTATTTTTTCTTGGCACTGCGGCCCCTTGATAATATTCACCAGCCCAAGACTCACTGGATCAAACGGACGCCTCAGTACCTCCTGTGCCTCCACTGAGTTAGCTGAGAACGAAGAAAGGTCCATGGTCTCGTCCCACAGACCGGAAAAACTGTCCTGTACATAGCCCATATCGTCCTGCAACACGGTCGAATCAAATGCCGGCAAAAGCCCCATATTCTGTGTCTCGGTCTTGTCAATGCAATCAATGCCTCTCCCATTCTCACAGATCCCTCCTCCCTGCGGAAACCCACTGCCATCTCCCCCAAAAACACTTCCCAGCAAAGACTCGTCGACCGAGCCATATCCCCCCACCAGTCCATGCATCTCGCACCCAACCCTGTCAACCCCCCCGAAACACGTGTTCACCACCCCATACATCTCTGTGCCCTCGACACCCCCCCGCCCCCCTAACCCCAGCCCTAGCCCTTTCATGTACCCATACCCCTCTCCCCCCACCTGGATCGGCTCCCCCAACCCCTGACCTAGCCCTAACCCTAGCCCCAACCCCAGCCCTGCGCCCTCGAGCCCTGTCCTGGCTGCAGCCTCGTCGAGTGCCCACCCAGCGCCCTCAGTCTTCGTCTTGACCTCCGACTGCGACTTCCTGTGCGAGATCTGGCTGAGCATCATCCGCAGGATCTTCGACTCGTCCTGCTCCAGCACCGGGTCATACGTCTTCCTCCGCCGCGGCGACTTCCCGTTCTGCGCCCGGTCCTTCTTCTTCCGCGGCAGAAACTTGTAGTCGGGATACTCCTTTGCATGCCGCTCCCTCTCCCGCTGCGCCATCTCTGCATACCGCTCCTTCTCCTCAATTGTCTCCCGCTTCCACATCTCCCCAATGATCCTCGAGATCGACTGGTGGTTGTTTGTCGGGATGCTGCCCTGCTTGTCCCGCCGGTACAGCATAAACGAGTTCAGTGGCCGCTTGATCCCCGACACACTCCCTCTTGACGGCGACTTCTTCTTTGTCTCCCTCTCTCCTCTTTCCCCCCCCTCTGTCCCCTCCGTCCCCTCTGCTCTCCCACTGTATCCCCCATATCTCCGCTGCGGCGAAAACACCTTCCCCTCAAACTGGTCTAGCGACGGGTTTGGCAGCGACGACGACAGAGCCGGTCGTCCTGGCGACGGCTGTTCTGCCACATACAGCCCCATCCCCCCCACAACCCCATAGCATCCGCCCTCATATGCCCCGTCGTCGCTGTATGCCCCTCCATACCTGTGGTCGAGGACCCTTGCCAGCTCGCTGCCCACAAGTGCTGCTCCTGTCGGCTCACTGGGCTCAAGCAAGCTGTCGCCTCCAAGACTGTCTACAAGGCCGCCGAGTCCTGTGCTGTAGACGAGCGGGTCGCCCACGGTCTGACCATAGTCGCCGCGCATTGCTGTGTCTGCCAGAGACAGGTGCCGCTCCAGCACTGCAGGTTGTGCCGGCCATCCTGTGCGCTTTGTCTCGGGTCGCTAGCTGCTGCCTGCGCTAGCAGCGCTAGCCGCCTTGGGCTGTCCGTGCATGCGCGCTAGCGCGTGGCGCAGGGGGTCCGCGCCAAAAAGCTGGCGACATGAGCAGGATTCGAACCTGCGCGCGAAATCGCATATGATACCCCACGGTTCAAGTCATACTCCTTAACCACTCGGACATCATGCCGTGTGTGGGGACGCGTGGTGTGCGGCTTAAGAGGGTGAGCTGTGGGTTATGGCGCAGCAGTGGGCTGGTCTGAGGGCGTGTGAGGGTCAGGGTTGGCAGAGTGGCGGTTAGGGTTAGGGCTAGTCAGGGCTGGGCGGAAGCGGGTGCAGTGAATGGGTGTGTGGCGTGCAGGCGGATGGCTGGGTGGAGGGCCAGGGTTAGGGCTGGGGCTTGAACAGCTGGGTCAGGGCAGGGTAGGCTGTGCAGGGCTAGGGTTAGGGTGGGCAGGGTAGGGCAGACAGAAAGACAGGGTAAGGCTGGGTAGGCGGGGGAGTGCAGTGATTAAAGCTTCATTTCAGCTATGATTCTGCTGGCGAGCGAGCGGTACTGCCAGGCATTGCCGGTCATGCGCTTGAACTGGAGACCATGCAATGCAAACAGAGGGACTTTGACGATGTATATTTCAAACTGTATGGTAAAGCCGGGGAGGTGTTTGTGGGGGAGGGCGGGAGGGGAGTCGAGGGAGTCGTCGGAGTCGTCGGGGGGGTCGAGGACAGACTTCTTTTTGGCGAAGGGGGGTCTGTGGAGAGAGATGGAGCGGCGAAGGAAGTGGGGGGAGTGTGGGGGGACGAGGGTGTTGAAGTCGATGCTTGGACAGTAGATGCAGAAGAAGCCGCCCTTGATGTCGCGGTAGGAGATGTTGAGGCGGGAGAGGACGCGGACGAGGCCGTTTTTTATTTCGTATGGGGGCTTGGAAGAGGTGGTGGAGACGCTGAAGATGCCTTTGAGGAAGCCGGACTTGACGGTGATGTCGCTGGAGGAGTTGTAGGGCTGGGAGGGGGGGGTGTTGTGTGTGGCGAGGACGGAGGACTGCCTGTGGACTTTTCTTTCTTTGCGGAGGACCTCGCCCTTGGTGTTTCCCAGGGACTTTGTGCGGTTGCGCCTGAAGCCAAAGGATGAGCTGGTGGAGGGCTTTGCTGGTGGCAGGATTTTGTTTTCGGCGGGAGAGTTTTCTGTTGGGTCGTCGGGGTGAGTTCTGGGAACAGACGGGCGACAAGGAGACGACTTGAGCCTGGAGAGGTATGTGCTGTTGCTGACAGAAACGGATCTCTTTATGTGGGGACCGGTTTGTTTAGTTTGGGGGGACTCTAGATCGGACGAACACTTAGTTGAGGGGGTCTTGCAGGGTGTTAAAGTCGGTGGTATTGAAACATGATGAGTCTGGCTAGAGAAGACACGCTCTTTGATTTTCCGAGAGCTGAATCGCCGAAGAAGCTTGAAATTCCTCTCCTTGGGTTCTTTAGTGAGTGCTGGAGCATCGCCATCGATTCTGCAGTGTAGATTATTAATATCGTTATCGGTACTGTGGGTATTGTTATTGGTATTGACAATGGTACTGATGTTGGTATTTTTATGAGCGTTGTTATGAGCACTGTTGTTAGTACTAGTGTTATTAGTGATGCCATTGGCTGCAGTATTAGTATTAGAGTTGGCGATAGCATTAGGAATAATGTTGACCACATCGTGATTAAGATTTAGAGATGCAAGAGGTATGTCTTTTATCGCAGCGTTTACAGCTTTTTCGTTATAAGTTTTTGCTCGAGTTCGTATTGTAAAGGACCGATTTCTAAGAATCGGCACAGTACTATGACGAATCTTATGGTCCAACTGATTGGCAAATGCACTAATCGAAGTAGAGATGTCAGAAGCATTAAAAATGTCTCCTCTATAGCTATGTGAGTTTTTGCAGCCACTTTTTTTCTCGCGCTCTATTTTTTCTTTTACAAGATAATAAATTGAAATTAAAGGATGATATGCATCTGCGTATAATGGTTTAACTTTATGCTGATTCTGAACGATACTTTCAGAGGCTGATGTAGAAATTGAATTATACTGTATGTTTGATTTGCGTTTATAAAAATCAAAAAATGTTTTCTTTTTATCGGTAAACAATGATAAAACATGTGTATCAGGCAATTGATTGTAATATGTCTTGACAAGCTTTCGATAGCCTTCGGATTCAATAATATTATTTAATTTTGAATAAATAGTCTGCTCACTACCAAACTCAAACCCAGTCATTCTACGAACAATCTCCATGTCTAAAGGGATTGTGATAGGAAAACGAGAAGGAAAATGATTATCGGGAGGACAGTCGTATCCTCTAGTCATCCATGGATGATTAAGAATTTCGGAAAGGGTGGCTCTCTGACTAGGTACTGTGACAAGCATTCTAGAGAGAAGTTGTTTACACTCTAGTACAGAAAAATTAAACTTTAAAAAAGTTATACAAGATAAATATTACCTGTAGTAAGCCAAGATGGGTATTCAACATGTCCGCGCTTAATTTTTGCATGGAGAGCTGGCATGTTCTGGTCATCGAATGGAACCTTCCCACATACAAGAACATAAAGAACAACACCAAAACTCCATACATCGATTTCCGGACCAACATATGCTTTGGCATTCAAAAGCTCGGGAGCAGCAAAATAAAGAGATCCACAAAAGGTAGAAAGCTGAGAATGTGGAGAATAGAGATTAGAAAGACCAAAATCAATAATTTTAATATCTCCTTCTTTAGAAATAAGAATATTTTCGATTTTAAGGTCTAGAAAAATTAGATTTTGAAGAAAAAGACACAATCACCAAGCAACCCCGATGGACGACAGAATTACGGTGGCAATAATCAAGAGCAGAGCCTATTTGTCTTGCAAATTTACGTGCTTGTTTCTCCTTTAATTTTCCATGAGAAATAATATAATCAAGCATTTGACCACCATTAATATATTCAAAAAATACGTAATAATGATTGGGCTGTATTTTAACGTCTAGAAGAGTACATATATATGGATGTTGAAGAAGACTCGAAATAGCAATTTCACGAATTGCACGTATTTCTTTTCCATTATCTTGCAAGTTCTGAGATGTCAAATGAGAGCCATGTGATAATGACCGTGGTATGATTTTAACTGCTGCCTAAATAACTTCATTAGAAATATATATTGGTATATGATTCAGTAATAAGATACAATTTCATTTGTAACACAGTGTGTAACAAGTTTTACTTTTCCCATACTTCCTGATCCTACTGTTTTTCCTAGCTGCCAGTCACCAATAGTCTTCCGCTGAGTATATGTATGTTCTTTTGTCGTATTATAGCTGTTTTTCAATGGAGAACGACCTGAATATGTCATAGCATTTGTAGCTTGTGATGCCTGCATCTTTGTGACATCTTCTCCTTTTATTTTCTCCTTATATCCAAAATTATCTGTTTCTTTTTTTTCTTTTCCTTCTTTAATCACCTGAGGTATCTCTGATACAGTTACAGGTATTGTTATTTTTTCTGATCCTTTCATTTCCCCTAAAATCTGCTTAACATAAACTATTCATTTATATTTATTAGAAAATGTTATAAAGATCTTATAAATGATGTTTTAATAGTGTTTTAAAGGTCTTTTTTATTCAAAAAAATGTTTTGCTTGATCGATCACCGTTGTTTCTTTTTTTCATTTCTCCAAGAAAATCACGTGATTATGGAGGCGGGCAAACTACATTTATAACTCTTTAATGCATTTCATTTTATAGACTTTTATTTGTTAAATATAAATGTATAGAGTATGCTCTTTTATTTTATTTGGATGAAGTGCGAATAAATTATTTAAAGTAAAATTGTATATATAAAACATATATATACCCTAGTATATCTAATATATCTGCTCAATGTATACATATGTAATTTGTTGCGTTAATAACCATCGTTTAGGAAACAAAAGATGATATACATAGATATAATACAAAAATAGTATACGCAAGGATATGTTTAGAATATTGCTCAAATATTTAATTTGTGCTCATTATATTTTAAATAAAAAATATATAAGATAATTTTTCAAAATATCTGAATCAATAACAATAAAAAGGATATGTAAATAGTTAATGAAATATTTATTAACAGATACATTCATATTTTAAAAATATAATTTTGAACTTACTATATAATGAAATAATAAATCATTTTTTCAAAATACAAATTTAAAATATTTATAAAATCTTGCTTTATTGAAACAAACGAAATTTAGAATAATTCAATTTGTGTCTAAAATAAAAAATATTATATTAATTGTTATTTAACTTTTAATTTAGTAGAGACAGATTAGATGTCTAATTTTAATGATTTTAGATAAATAATTTAATTTAATTAGAATTTTAATATAATGTAAATCTATAAATATTAGCATGTATTGTTAACATGTAAAAAATAATTTAACGAAGAAAAAATACAAATACTTATATATATATTAATAATAAAATTATTTAAAAAACGTAATTAAGTAAATATATTTGTCAAATATTTTAAATTTATCAAATATAAACGTAAATTACAGAAAAGTAAAACATTTTAGTACAAATAAGTTATACATATATCAATTTTTTTATTTTGATTATATACAAATGTTATATCTGTATAAACAAAAATTTTATTTAAACAATAATTATATAATTATTAACAACACAATTCTATCAAGAAATAACACACATACACATTTCAAAATAAATTAAAAATATAATTTAAACAAAAGTATGAAACTTTAAGAATTCAAAACTGAAATATTTAAAAACACAATAATTATAGTTCATTTTTCTTGAATATAAAATATATTTAGCTAAAATTTAAGTAATTTTCCTAAGAACTTATAAAACAATCTGTAAAAACACTCAAGAATTCAAACATTATAATATCAAAATTAATTTATATTTGAATCATAATTCTTATAAAAAAAATGAAAATAAAGAAACCAAATGAAATTAAAGATTATTCAAAAAGTTATTTTAGAGTCATTCATAGAATCATTCATACTTAAATATATTGTCCTTTAAAAATAATTAAAAACAATTTCAATAAGCTAACTCACAAACCAAAACACCGATATACTATTAAGAAAAGGTATTTGATATTTTAAAGGTATATATTTAAAATTAATCAACTGTATAATAGGCCAGACGCAATAATTAACCTAATT